AACTGTATAAATAATCTTTAATGAATTGTGTAACGTTTTTCCGATGATTTCCTAATTTGGGACGGTCTCCCCTGGAACCAAAATGTCAACCCTTATTATGACGTGTATGCATTGCGTATGCTAAAGAACTCCTGTATCATAATCAAAAAGGAATTAATCAAAGAGCAAAATTTTTATTTATAATTCTTTACCTCAGTAAATTAAATAAATTTTAACAAAACAACATCATGGATGACCTGAAAGAAATTAAAACACTCAAATTTATTAAATCGAACAAACTTAAACCTGAACTTCCACCAACTTTCTCCATCCAAGACCTTTTCCCGAAGTCTTGTAGTAGCAAATTTCCAAATGCATTTATAGTATACCGTAAACAACTTTGTCAAAATTTAAAGGCACTAAACATATCTATAAATATGCCGATAGTATCTTCACTCGCGAGTAAATTATGGAATGAAGAAACGGATGAGTTCAAAACCAAATATAAAACATTTATTGATGAAGCAAAAAGTTATTATCAGCGACAGTGTTCAGAAAAAACTGATGCAAAAGTTAACCCATATATAGATACAGTTTCTTTTAATGATGCACAAGAAAACTTTGAAGTATATAATTACCAGTTCCAAACTAATGACTCCCAAAATATCCAACAAATTCAAGAGTCGTTAGAACCTTTAGTTTACTCTCAAGACTATTTTTATTGGAATTACGCGTCTGATAATTTGATCTATCAACTTTATCCAATTCCTATTCATCAATGTTGCGGTGGATACTGTGAGAATTGTTCAACGAATGCTATAGTCAATATCAACAGAAATGAATATGGAATGGATGGAACATATTGTAGGCTTTAGATTCGTTCAAAACTATCTCTATCTAAGCATAAAAATCTTTAAATAGATATGGTGAATATTTTCCATCCGCACATATCATAAACATTTTTAATTTTATTTACTCATATATTATAAATCGACGTTATACTTACTTATGATCATATCAGCGAAATCATTATTGCTTCACGAATGTATGCATAGTATAATGTGATCTATAAAAAGACGTATTAATTTTATATGCTATTCGAAATTATTAATAAAAATATGCTTAAAATATTGTATGTATTAAACAACCATCATCGTTGAAAATGTATAGAATAAGTAAAATAATATCGAATAGAAAATTCTTATGTAGGGAATATCTGAAATCAGAGGCGGATATCGAATAGAAAATTCTTATGTAGGGAATATCTGAAATCAGAGGCGGTCATATAATTAGTGTTCTGATCCGGATAATGTGTTTATCTAAAAATAATTATCTGTTGACATCTGTTTATAATTCTATTATTCGGATAGCTTATTGTATTATACCCAGGTCTACACTGTAAGCCCAGATATATTACATATAGAGCAGTGGCCAACATTAAAAAGTTCAACAAGTTGAATGGCATAATTAGAGTAACTTACACGCATTCGTATACTAAACTTGCAACACCTAGTGTTATCATGTCATAATCGTACCCTCCCAGTCCTTAGTGTAACCTTCTATAGTTTATCGCAGTTTCGAAACACACAAGTAATTTCAAGTACGGTAGCTCTCCCACAAAAAATTTTACCCCCTCGTGATTTTTATCCAATTAGGATGTTAAGGTTAGGGGTTAGGATTATGTTAGATTAGTGTTAGGTCACGTTAAGGTGGAGATTTATTGATTAATGCTTTTGTGGGAGATTAGTGGCAATACCCCATGATATAAATTTAATTCACCTAAAATTGAGTTGAGCAAGTTTTTCATCATTATACCATATAAATTTGTTAAGAATGACAGATTCGCTGTTAAGTTCAACACTAAAAAAATAAAAATAAAATAAAATAAATGATGAGTATATATAATCATTGTACTCTTCTAGTCCTTGGCGGCCAAACTACATGGGAGACAGTTTCGGAATGCATGTGTCTACACGGATTCCCACAGCATAACTTACACACATGCATATACTCCTAGTCCTTAGCGTAACCTACCACCAGTTGCAGTTTCGAAAGGCAGTTGGTAAAATAGTACTGTACGATAGTACAAATATGTACAGTACATACGTTAAAAATAATAAACTTTTGCATATACTATATATATGGTACATTTTTAATAAATACAAAGTAGAAATAGGTGACTCAGCACTGGGGTGTGACCAATCAATAGTGTGTGATGAATAACTATTTACTATCTAGTTTATATAAATACTTATTTGTCATCCGTTATTGAATAGCCACACCTAGTACTTAATAAGAGGGGTTTACCTATAACAGACTTAATCTATACGAAGTTTTTTTTAAATATATGAATAACACAAAAAAGGCTTTAAGCTTATATATTAACTATAGCATTGGTATTTATTTAATTGTACACAAATCCGAGCATAGTTGATTTTTATTGAATTAAGCACAAAGATTTAACATCATTATACACATAAAATAAACCCAAACTATTTAAATATTATTTTGCCATGGATATACCTTCAATGTTATCTGTTGATTCTAATTCTGTTACTTAAATTGCATTTGAAAACTTGTTTCACGATATAATTCTTTATTATTATTGGTAGTAGAAATCTTTCTTTATGTACATTAGCGCTAGTAGTATTGCTAAATAAAAAAAAAAAAAATTGATATATATTTTTAATAAATAATTTTTAAAATAAATATTTACTTTTTCTATTTGACGCAATTACTATCTTTTATTTTCACTTCTATCTTTCATTGTATACAATATGCCTGAATTCTTATAGGTTTGTTTAGTTTTTAATAACCTTTTATCGTATTATCTTTCACTAAAATAAATAAATAATAAATAATTTCATTATAAATAAGTTTATATAATTAAATTACTATAAAATAACTGATAAAAGTTTTGCTTTCCTTCCTCATTTACTAAAGCATTAGCTGCTTCCACTAAATTGATATTATTAACATGTTTTCTCCAAATATGGATATTGCTACAATGTCTTCTAGTTTAGTGTTTACTTGTTAATTGAAATTCTTCGACATTGGATATGTGTATTATCCATGTTAGCAACAAAAGTTACTATTTGACAATTATATAAAATCATTTATCTGATACAAGTCAATAATATATTAAATATGTAATCGTACTCTAAGTATGATATTTCTTTTTTTTTTAATGTCTGTATGTAACCAGTATTACGAATAGTAGTAGAGTATGGTTTAGTAAAGTAGCAGAGTATATTACAAAAATCACATTTGAGTATATAAAACTTGCATACTATACTCATAATATGTATTACATATAAAATAGTATAGTTGTAAAGAATTTAATTATATGTGACCTCATGAAAATTCTACTGTAATTAAAATATAATGATATGTGACAGTATCCCAAAA